CTCAGTTCAAACAACTTTTCAATCCTGGTGATTATTATTATAATACTTGATGAATACATAGACTATTTTTGATGTCATAGGTTGATACTCTATCTATAGGATGTCTTTTTAAGTATGAATCAAACAAAAAGGATTGATTCTACTGCTCAAATGGTACTTTTCTACAAAATATTATCATCACAAATCAGCTAATTAGTATGGGGACGTAATTTTTTCTCTGAATTTCTATAATATAGATACAATATTATTGTTTATGTAGTATCAATCCTTTTTGTTTCATTCATACTTAAAAAGACACCCTGTATAAGTCTTTTAGACAAAAAGCTACAGTCAAATATCTAAGCGGTACAATTTATTACGGTCAAAATCTGATATTAGGTAGATAGAAATATAAATATAAAATCTGTTTTTTTTTGCTGACTCTACCTCCGAGATGTTAGAATCACCTGAACCCAAAGGATTTGTGGGTCTTAATCACGGACACCGGACCACCCAGGAGGCGGTCATTAGTCCCGCCGTCCAATTACAAGACATTACAAGTATTACAGCGATTACAAGGATTACAGACATTAGAAAAGTACACGAATTTGTAATCGCGGTTGTGAGTGTTTGTTTAATGGATTTTTCAACTTAGTTATTTGAATGTAATAGGAGTTCATTTGCTATGTATTTATTTAACTTCAGAGGAGAGGTTAAGGTAATATGAGTATGAGTGTGTAGGATTTTTCGTGACTGAATACAAGTAGACAACGAGAAACTTATCTAAACCGTTGAAATAGAGATATAAAAACAGTAAATAACTTCAATTTCAGGGGTGTTTATCCCATTCGAAGTGCCGAAAATATTTCTTTTGAAGCTGACATTTGCACTTGTGAAGAATATGAAATAAACGATAAATCTTACTTGCTATAGAAATTTAGTTACAAAGTTTTTCCCCTCATTCAAAAGTTACGCCCTCAAGAATGACGTACTGGTTTAGTTATTTCCTTGGCGCATTTTCATTTACTTACTTGAAAACCGCATTTTACTGTCAACTTAATTGTATGAAAATCCCATAATGTAATTCATAACCAACTCGTGTTATGTAATCACTATAATAATATGTATAAACATAACGATCTTTAACGAAAGGAAAATACATTTTATTTATAAGGCATACTTAATGGCAATATATAAAATGCAAAAGATATGAAATGGGTCTCAAGAGACGTAGACTTATATGTATAAGTGGATATGATGAGTGCTGGAGTTAACTTGCCATACAGAAATCTATTTTGTGAAAAATATACGTTGCTTAGAAAAAACATAATCCATAATTTAAGTTACAAGTCATGAAAACTCTATGTTTCAAAATATTTTGCTCTTTCCTAAAAATACGTTAATATTAATCTGTACACTTCAGTAAAATAACTCTTAAAAGAATTTCATATGTTCAAACTAATTGGGAGTTCATTGGTGAATTTTTTATCCCATATGTCTCCATTTCCATTTACGTAACGTAGAGCTTGACATTCGAAAAAATGTGGGGTAATTACTCAAAATGTCCCGTTTAAGTTACGAATAGGCCCCGTAGCGGGGAGTGCATAATATATCAACGTCTCCGCGCTCCTTCCATAGATAAACGGATGAATGGCGCTTTAAACTTTCCTATTTGGTATCCTGTAACAAGATTGAACTCTTCTTTTGGATATTATGATACTAATAAATTCAACAGTCAGCAATAAGTCATAGAAAGGATATTTATTCACAATAATCTATATATATAAAAGAAAGTCGTGTTAGTTACTCCACTTATAACTCAAGAACGGCTGAACCGATTTAGCTGAAAATTGTCAGGGAGGTAGTTTAGAGCCAGGAGAAGGACATAGGATACTTTTTATCCCGTTCGAAATAAAAAAAAGTCTGCTTATTTATTGCCATTAAGGCGGAACAAAGTTCGCCGGGTCAGCTAGTTTATTATAGAGCTTTTTTGTACATGGCAAGTTGTAAACGCTTTCACTGTCTCTATTTAGAAATGAAAGTTATACGAAACAGGTGCGCTTTTTACACGTCTGCTAATATAGAGATGAATATTTGGGTTTATATGCCATTGGATTGTATAATATTTACATTTCTCTGTCGCTCTATCAAGTATGGAATATCTCAAGAGTTGATTGATATAAAAATAACTTTTGACCGCTGAAGTGCGAGTATTTTCGTCTGGGCTATCCATGCTACCGATCGATCGACGATCGTGCTGACCAATTCGTTTGAAAGCTTAAGATGAACCATAATAATATTTTCGAAGATAACTAACTTATGGACTTCGAAATAAGTATGCCTTAATACTCTATGATCACGTCATATTGGCACGTATTGTATTTTATTACATGAACGTGGTTGGTTTGGAAGATGCATGTGTGTGTGTGTGTGTGATTGGTAATTTTGTAATTTCTTATGTCATCTTGTGCCCAATCTTAATCACATGTAGTCGATTTATGAAGCCCACCATGCAGCCGTATTGTAAGCAAGGGACAAACTTCATGCTCGTTCGTTTCAGCCAAATGACGTCCACTGCTGGACAAAGGCCTCCCCCAAGGATTTTCACATCGACCAGTACTGCGTTTTCCGCAACCTTCACCAAGTCGTCGGTCCACCCAATGGGAGGAAACTTCATTTAAGTGACTTAAGTCACGTTTGCATAATAACCATAATTAAGTAATCCCCAAAAACAATTCAGTACAATGAAAGTAAAACCACGCACATACCTCCATTAGCGTGCTAATCGCCTTATGAATAGCATCGACTCATCGCATTTGAACGATCTACGCACCGCAAAACACAAATACTTGAGATTATCTCCAGCCATTCTTTCCCACTCGCTATTGTTGCAGTAACGGCAAAGAGAAATCTTTCAGCCGTCACACCAGCCATATGAGTGGAATAATGATGCACATAAATGCATAAGTTTGTTACAACGCATGACTTCACAGGCATATTTTTGAACGACAGTGATTGACGTTATTCTTGTGTATAGTTTTGGTAATTAACTTTTCGACGCTCTACTAAAGAAACAGTGTTAGGATTCATGAATTTTAATAGTACTGTTTTTGTTCTTTCATGCAAATAGGATCCCATTAATCAAAATCAGATAGCATTACTTATCTAGCACATTGTATCAAACATGTACCGTTTTAAAATTATGCATTTTATTTATGTTCTGCTTTATCATTGTAAACATAGAAATAATTAAACTTTTTGTGACTCTACAATCTGCTTAAGCATAGCGCTATCAAATAAACGTGTACCTACATAATTACGTATCAATCAAACTCAAAAGGGTCTTAAAAGCCCGATACTAAAATTGTACAAGCGTAGAGTGTTGTTAAAACGTAATTGTTGTAAATGTCCCGATTGTAGTGTCGCCATGGCGATAGGACGGCGACGCGACGGCGGGCACAGATAACCGTCCCACACCTAGTTTTTGAGTGTTTCTGTCTCATAAACACAATGTAATGCTACTGTGTAGGGAGGTAAGGTACCTACCTACTTTTATTTTTGTGCCTTTTTTACGTAACCGTTTTGCTAATGCATACTTTTCCCCATATAAATGGTCATGTAACTACTACTATGGTCACTAATTGGTATAAAATTAACATTACATTTTGCTACTTGTAGATAAAGATGGAATTTCCATCTGTCTTTATTTAGATAAAAAACATGAAGGCTAGGTGTATACCTAAGTAAAATAACGAAAGGTGTAAGTTTGATTCCGGATTCTGTTCCCTTTCTGATAAATAAGTGTTATTTCTTCCCACAAATATAATATGTAACAACTAATGAGTTACAAGTATAGTTGATAACGTGATAAACATGTTGTAATTACCTACTAAACAGTTCTTAGAACAAAAAAAAAGGTGTGTAGGAATAACATTATTTTTCTCAAGCAATACTAAGGTTTTTCTGTGATTACATCTTTTGTTTCCATTAGCCCTGAAAATGTAAACACAAACTCGTGACGACGAATAAAAAATGGTCCCTAGAATAGGTAATCAAAACATAAAAGCCGAAGAAAGCGTTTCAGTCCAACTGGAATTGCCGACCTTGTACTGGAACAGCCCTACTTCTGTACTAAAAGCCTTAATAGACGTCTCTGGGAAATTAGGTACTGAATTATTTACATTTGAATTGTTATTTTTTTCTGTGGGGCCATTATCAAAATGGAATCACGAAAATGAAGTAATAGGATGTGACATTCGTAAAGCTCGAGCCAAATTCGGGGACTAAATATGGAAATGGTTAACAAATATTATACCCATAAAGCTTTTTGGCTCTACTAAGTGCAAAAATATGTAGCATGATGAACTCAATAAAATGATGCCAATCAATGTCTCGCTTCACTACGCAGACGATACAATTTCCCTTTGAAACACCAGAGACTTGATATTTTCAAACGTGGACTTGTTAAGTCTTTTATAGCAACTCTTACTCTTATTCTCTCCTAAAGCCAAAAAAATAGAATTAAATTTTTACTATATTCCAAGTCATAGATTGATCAATCATGTTTCATCAATCAGTTCAATTCACATTAATCCATTATAGTAATGATAGAGATTAAAATAATGGATTAACATTGACATAATAGGCAAATTATACCTACATAATAGTAGAGTCATCATTAAATGTCATCTATTAGGTAAGTTAGCACAAACCCCCAGGGAGATTACAGCAACCAGTAACCAGATCGTCGAACCATCAAGTACCTTTATTTATTCCTCAAAATTCAATTCAGAATTTCATCCTTTACCTGTTATTTGTGTTAGGTACCCAACTCATGCATCAGCGAATCTGGAGCACCGCGTGGATGCAAAATATACGGCCACAACAGCGTGCGCCTGACGTGCAGTGGTTTCAAAATAAAAACATCCTCTATTCACACGCACCGCTCTCTCGGCCGACTGCCGAGCGCAGCGAACATCGTACGAATGCCGAATGCACCCGATCTTTACACGCCGCTCGTCGGCCTCCGCGCCTCAGTCCGACCACGACCGCGGGCGGGGCGGCACGCGCGGTGCGCGCCTCGCGACTATCATTGTTTTCATCTAAAACCATTGTTTAATTCCATCCGACTGCAATCGATACCACGACTGACGAAATTCACGGCCTACACGTCCAATTTGTGACAGTTGCACAGTGCTAAAACAAATCTTGTGACAATAAAGTGTTATCTACACCTACATTGGTACTCGCGAGAAGGTGGCTTATTGACAAGTGAAACTCTTTATAGTTCCATTCATCCGCAGGACTGTTCTGTTTGAATTTGTTTTATGGAACTGTAAACGTGTTAGTGATCTTTGTTGGAAAGGAAAGCATGCAAATCGATAATCGAGTGGATGCCCACCGAGAAGTCGAGAGCTCTTGCTGTTCGGTATACTGGGTTGCATATTGATTGGGTGTACACCGGGATCACTGGATTGTCACCAATTGCGGTGAGTTATGGCCCTAATAAGAACTTTGACAGGTGTACGGATGATTCAGGTGCGGCAATTTGGCAGAATTTATTGCAGTAAAGGGGACGAAAATATACAATAATAATAAACAAGTTTGTTTTTATTAGAATTAACCCTATTTATTTAATAGTATAAGCATTATTTATATGTACTTTGAATGATATTTTGAGCCTATCACACAGTCAACAGACAATTATAAGGTACAAAACACTACTAACATTTACTTTATTATGACATTTTCCACTTCAAAGTTTGATATTATTGATATGCATTACACATTATCAGTATTATCTGCAGATAAAGCAACCGAATATCCCGAATCTGATAGTAAACATAACTCATTGGTACTTCTGTTATACAACAAGCACGTCACAAATTCTTAATTGTAATTTGTAAAGATAAACAAACAATAATAATAAATAACATTCTATCCCAATAATTCTCGTATAAGAAAATCACACCTAAAATTCTACGAATGAGACAACAATAGATGAGGATTTGTTTACTTAAAACCATTGCCTAAATAACAACAATGAAGACCATAATCCCTCTTAACAATGTTTTTTCACACAGACTCTGGCACAGTTTTTGTTCACCCCAATTCTCAGGGTCGTGTCACAGTTGAAGAAATCCTGAGAAGTCTGGGCCAACTGGCAGCGTTGACCGCTGCGAATCGTTTTGTTTCTAAGTCAAGAGCAAGTCTACACGAAGTATTGTTGGCGATGACACAGAACATATGCCACATTGTTTTGAAAATAAAGCATCGTAACTCCGAATAATTAATGCATAAAACGCCTGTGCAAAAAGAATTAAGGGTGCCCTTGTAACCTCGCTTGTCCTTCAGTTGAGATTCAATAAACTAGTCAATTGGAACAAACTGGTTTGGTTTATGATGGGGCTTAACAATGCATTGAATGTAGATGCCAATTTACTAACAGCCTATTCCTTTAAAATTTATACCATCACATAACTAAGAGTATGTACAATGTTTGCGAGTGCGGCCGCTCACCGGTCGAAGGCAAGGTCACACAGTATGGTTCACACCATACCATTTAGGCATAGGCTATCATTAGAGAATCATGAGAATCAATAAAAGAACTTTGAAGCACCGGGTAATCTTAAACATTTAATTGTCTACGTCCGAAAACTACAGGTTTGTAACATAATAAAAGAGGTCAAAGAAGGTTAAGAATAATCATACGGCTACCTGAGCGGCCTTGCGCCCGAGCTACGGTTACAAATGCAACAATGGGTCTGGAACGAGAACGAAACGCAGGTAGAGCAATACTGCACCAATTAAAAGATTTATCCATTCGCTGTTCTTCAAGCGAAACGTTATAATTATTTTTGAAACCTTTGAATATGTAAGTCTGTTTCTCAATAGGAAGTCTTCGTGGATTTGATTGCTGGAATTGGAAATGACGCTGCAATACGATGAATATGTAAATAATATATTGATTATCCGCACGCATCTTGTTTATTCCGATTTAACCTCGTCAAAAATGGTTTCTCTTCTACCTTTATAAAGCTGGTTAGAACCAGCTGTGTGAATGTATGCAAAATATTTATAGAAATATCACCCGTTTCCTGCCGCTTGCCGTACTGGGGTTCGAAGCAATAATAAAGCAGATTTGTTCAATAAATCTCGCTTGAGAAATTCAAAGGGACATTGTAAAACACACCTTGCCACAAGAAGAGAAGGCAACCAGTTCTTCCACCTGGCCGGCGCACGCACACAAGGGCTAACCTGCTCGTCTGCTACTGGTATCGCCTCTTTATTCTTCAAGAAGCCACTAATTGCATGCTGTAAAACCATAATAAACCACTCAAAGAAAGCAGTTTGGAAACTTTACAAGTATCACACAAAAGGCTAACTCGTACCCACAGCCTGCAGTAAAATCAGCCGCCTACTTAGCGAAAAGAAAGCGATCCATTCAGCAATCGATAGTGCTTGCAATTATGATTGTTCGTACGGCGAACAATTAATTCTTCGAGAGTTCGACACTATTGTCGACGGCTTTGTTTTTCTTTTTGCTCGCATACACTTTCTATGATTGAACAAAATCAAATTCTTTATTTGTAATGACGAAGATCCTCACTTCTATACGACTGTATGTAGGTATATTCTCGTACGGAAAGTTGTCTAATGAGACACAGTGTTCACGAGGAGAGGAACTCATCAAACTGGCCCTCCCGAATGTCCGAGTGCGTCCAAGTTTGGCAACTAGTTACGGATTGTGAGTTAATTATGTCGATACTGAGAATTTTGTGAGTTGGTGCTCCATTTGCTAATGCAAAGGAAAACGTGTTGCAATACGTACAGGTTGTTGAGATATATTTACTCAAGTGTCGGTCTTTTTGGAACTTTTCCATATCTAAACACAAAGTAATGAAAAATTCGATACGTACCAAAACATCATTCGTTATAATTATGCAGGATTTAAAAGGCTTAACCCCGCATATCTCATTCCTGATTCACCCCATTGATATTCCGGAGAAATATCTTGTGGTCAGGAATTCCTAAGCACCTTTATGATTCATCGACTCCTGACATGTTTGTTTCTGTTTCTTTCTTTTTTGTTGTCACAATCTTTTTCCTCTACCCTTATCATTATAACCACAGCCGTAATTATCCAGGCACTTATTATTCCTAGAAATCTTCTGACAGTTTTAAGGTTTAAATTGATTTCTTGGTTTTCAGTTACTTAATTGCTTTATAAGATTACCTAGTTTATTAATACACCCAATCGTAAAAGTGTACCGCGGCAAAAGATTTATCATGACCTTAATCTATTACTTACACGCTCTACATTTAAAACACCGGCCTGAATTCGACCTGAAACAATGTGGGTGTACATTATACTATACAATTAACAAAAACAGAATCGTTATGCTTAACAATCCTATTGTTGAAATACTACACAGCTGTTTTAGAAATAAAGCACATGGAAGTGGTAACAAGATTTAGGGGTTTATGATGCAAATAAAGACAAATTGAATTAGTCAAATTTTGGCTGTGAACATCCTCGCGAAAATCACGCTCGCACGCGGAGTTCGTGAGTTTATTCGCTAATCATTTCGGAGATCCGAGTACAACTCCGTCTTTTGTTATTTGAATTAAAAATTTGACTTTTCCATGCTAAAGATAACAAGGATCTGGCTAATGTGCATTATATAAACAACCCCACCTGTTCCCCTCGACTAAATGTAAACGTTTCAATCCTCTTCTGTTATTTCAGGTCAACGACTCTTGCAGATGTGGTGACTTGTCGAAGTATAATTTCTTTTTTGATTTTAGGGATTTTAATTAAATGAACCTCAGGTAGGTTCAAAATTTGAACTTCAAATCATTAAAATCTCATCAAAAGAATTTCTGTTTTATGATTCACAAAATTGTTCCAAGAAAACACCACGAAAGTTTATGTCATAGATATGGGTGTAACAGACAGAGCCTGAGATATGCGAGACACGTTTTATTGATAAACCTAACCAAAAGAGGACCTAATAAAAGCATGAACAGGTCTAGGAGAAATTTGGGACATGATGCATAGTTTCATAACTAGATACCATGCATCCAAAAGAGGATAAACCAACTTAAGTAAATAAAAACATTTAAGATATGACTTACATTCATTATTCAAGTATCGCTGAGCCTCCCGCCATATTGTGTAAGCATACAAGAGTCTGGAAGTGATTATTGAATATTATGATTAGTCACTGGCAATGCGCAAACCGTAAATCATCTTAGAAAGTTCTCATCTTATCTGGTTATAAGCGCCATAATTTATGTTGACTTTGATGTTTTGCGAGAAACAACTACACAAACAGCTGTGGGCAGTTAATGAATTTCTGATTACGGCTCTTGTTATTCTTAATGAAAATTCTTACTAATCAACGCATAAAGAATTAGAGTAAGTATAATTGAGTTCTTAGCATTTTTCGTCATATATATGTTGATAAGTCAGAACAATGTAGGTAGTTTCTACAAAGGAAATTTGATCTATTGTTTCATTGTTGTTGTTGATAGTGGTAACTATATACGATAAGCACATAACATATTATAGGACTTAACCTTCATTTACAGTGCGAACCATATTTATTAAGCTGACCGGTCACTCCAGAATCAACTAAGTACAGCTCATCAAGGCCAAAACACAAGTGAATGAATCACTGCCATCTCTATTAACCTATTGCAAAACCAAAACAGCCCGCTTAATCCTCTAGCTGCCTGCTACCATATTAAGTGTTACGCGTTCAAAACAGCAAGCGACACGTGTTGTTGCCTAATATAGAGCAAGATGCATGATGTTTAATTGTCCCGTCCACTGTATGCAAAGCAACCGGTCGCAATTGGCCCGGTTTCCCACGCATTAGCGCCGGCCCACGGCCGAACCGATGCAAGTGGCATACTTCACAGTGATGAGTGACAACAAATCAACAAGAGTCATGGCACTTCGCAGGTTAAGTGGGCATTTTTTAAAGCTGATCTGACTCTAACAACCCTCGAGGATGAGAAGTCAACGTGTTAACCCTATGACGCTAAAATATAGAGTCACATTAACAAGAATAAATAACACAATTTTTTATCTATGGCAAATATACTTAATATTCTAATTGTCTTGTGTGGGAGGCACTTCGTATGCGCAGGCAAATTATGATCCTGGTAAATGATTATTTTTTTCCCTCTACTTCAAATGTAATTTTTTATTTTATTGACTTGAAACAATGATCAAACAATATCTCTTGGTACAAAACAAAAGAGATAAAAGTCAATCAAATCACTCGCCAAAGAAAATGTTTTTCCAATTTATGAATGAAATTAGTTACCTTATAAGCAACACATTTGGCCACAATTCGCCAAAATAGCCAATATTCTTATTAAAACCGATAGAAATATACAACTCCCAAGAGACTCTTGCTTACGTATCTCACCAATCGAATTCGTAATACTAAAGTACTAAAGAAACAATAGAGTGTAT